CCTGATACAGAAGACTGCTTTTCCCTACTCTACCCTGATACAGAAGACTGCTTTCCCTACTCTACCCTGATACAGAAGACTGCTTTCCCTACTCTACCCTGATACAGAAGACTGCTTTCCCTACTCTACCCTGATACAGAAGACTGCTCACCTGTGTCGCCATCAGTGCTTTAAGCTCCGATGACCCTAGAGATCCATATAGCGCAGCAGGGCGGTGGAGGCCACACAAATATTGATGCTTTTTACCCTGGCCAAACGCATCAGCGCTGTAGTGGCGTTCCCTGTCAAGAACAACGGCAAATCGCTTAGGAGCAGATTATTTCTTTGGACTGATCACCAGCATACTCTTTGCGATGGAGAGCAATTATCGAGACCTAACTCCAGAAGACATCATCTGGCAAGGAAGCGACATGTAGCAACAAGTGAACGTACCTGCAGAAGAAAGCCGTGTCGCCGGAGAGGTGCCTCTCGCGGCACAGGTCCCGTCGAATATGCTGCGGCCTCAGTTCACCAGGCGGCTGGTGCGCATGGCCAGTGGAATAGCAGATATTACCCTGTGGATGCAGAACAGGAGACCGCGTACAGAGACCATAATCACGAGAATGAGATATAACGGGGGGGGGGGGTTCGTGCTATATGCCATCATCCCTAATGCCTAGCGCAGACTTTGCGACTTTTGGTTGCTCGTCGCTGCAACCTGCAACCGCATGTGATCGGTCGCACGCTTCACTGTGTGTGCGTATGTGTGTGCGCATGCAAGCGATTTCGAAGCGATTTCGAAGCGTTTTCAGAGCGATTGGGAGCGACGAGTTGCTAAAAATCAAACCAGTTTGATTTCTAGCAACTCGTTGCAAGCGACCAGAATCGCTACGAGTTGCAATTGCACGTTCCCGCAGACAGAAAGACAGACAGATTCTAGAATCGCAGCCGAGTTGCATGAAAAAGTCGCCTGAGGCTGCGCCTCGGCGGAAAAGTCTGCGGCTAGGCTTAATGCACATGCGATTCAGCCACGACAGGAACGCTTGCCCATCAAACATCCGAGGAACTAGCAAATCACCTGAGAATAAGACTGACTATGGTGGTCTTCCCTGTTGTCACCGTGGTAACAGCAGGGCGTAGACAGAGATCGGCAGTGGCGTTTCTTTGGTGGGGTGTTCGGTGTACGAAGCATGTCGGACTCATGAGATTCACAGCAGGGGGCAGCACTGTTGCCGGTTATCGTCAGCTGCGTGTTCAGCGAGTGATGAAGGGCAGCGCAATCTGGAGAGCAGTTCGTTTCACGTCCTGCGTCCCTCATACTGGCAAGCTCCTCCTCGTGGTGGCGCCCTCTATAGATGAAAGGGTTCCATTGCAAGTGCTGCTCCTGCTTGTCTGAAATCGAACAAATTATTCACGGTGTCATTTTGAGTACTTATGCGACTTAGAATGTCACAGCGTGTGGCCGTGTGCTCATGTTGCCTGGAAATTTATTAGCGTTTGTCGTAAATGTGCTAACATATCCGATTTACTAGTTCCTCACACACCGACTCTTAAACTAGAGACCCTCCAAATAAAAACCGAAACCAACCTTTCCCCATAAATAATCCCAACAGCCAATTATCCATTATTATACGCACTTGATGATCGTCTTAACGAGAAATCGTTTGAACGATGTTGCGGAAAGTTTCAAAGTGGTCAAAGATCTAAAAGCGAATGAAAATCCAGTAGCAAGTCTTAAACGATTAAGAGTAATAATTTTCCATTCAGCTTTGCGGGGGATCGTCATTGGATAGCATGAGAAGGAAAACTGATCACTCGGGGGATTTGCTACAGCAAATGAACGAAGCCCCGTGATCGCATTGCTGACTCGGCCAACCATCTTACCAGAGCGTAATAGCACAAAGTGGACCTTCTATACAGCATGCACTAATCAATAGCTTCTCTTCACATCCTTCTGTGACTGTTGGGGGTAGGAACAATATTTAAGGTGCCAGTTTGAAATGATATCAGTGAATGACATGCTCTTCTAATACTACCTCAATTTGTCTCTTCGAATAAATGGGCGCGATCCGGAAAAAAATGGTGCAGATGTAGTAATTTGCCACAACCACATTGATATAGATGGAGATGACTTGAAAATCAGTAAGGAAATATCTGCAATCTTATCTAGCTATAATCTTGCATCCTTCAAAGGAGTTGTATCATCTCTTAGATGTCTTGTATAATATCTATGGAGTCACAGCATGCAAACACAACACACCTGCATGCATGCACGCACGGAAGCACGTAGGCAGGCACGCACGCACGCACGGCCGCACGCACGCACGCACGCACACGCGTACAGAAGCACACATGCACATGCATGCACACACACGCATTAACACGAACCGGCACAGTAACAATACACCTACATGCACGTACACACGCGCGCGCACGCCCACGCGCACACACAATCAGTCTTCTTGACAACAGAAACGTCAATACCAACTAAAATATCGCCCACACTGGAGACAAACACGCGCTAATCACGCGCCACGAACACGCCCGTATTTCATCACGCATCTCTCTCGCTACAGAACCCTATACCAGGCGCAGCTCCTTTCTGTCGGCTGATGAACCAGCTGGTTATACACACCTCGTCATACGTTGCCGCGTAGCTCGCGAAATGTCACGTTTATCACGTGAACAACGCGCTGAGACAACCACTGTATCCGCGACAGATTTTCAGCGACGGGCTAGAGCAAGCAATAGTGGCAGAGTAGTGAGTGCAGCAAGTTAAACAGCCACACCTGCAGGGCCTAGATTTCACGCGAGTCTCACCGGACCGCTGTGTCTTGCACTGCTCCTACTAACCCGCTTATACGAAGGCTATAAAGGGTTTCACGAGAAAGGACCAGAACGATGAACACACCGTCAACTCTCTCATGTCACATATTGCTGGCACATGCTGTTCCTTCCTAGCTGTGGTTAATCACAAATCCTCCCCCACCCTCAGCCCACTTTACATGTTGCATCTCCTTACGCGTGAGCGCCTCAACGTCAGCGTGTAACCTTCATATACGTATTCCCAACTCTTACCAGTCAGCTTTACCACGTAGGGGTCTATCTGGAGAGGACATGCCTAAAGAATAATTATCTCACCAAGTTCTTTTTATCTATTTCATCAAGCCTGTTTATATTACACGCGCACGCATGCACGCACGCACGCACTCACTCATATGCACGCACGCACGCACTCACTCATACGCTCGCACGCACTCACTCATACGCACGCACGCACGCACTCATACGCAAGCACGCACGCACTCACGCACGCACGCACGCACGCACGCACGCACACACACACACACACACACACACATACGCACACAATAAGTATGCATACTAGCAGGCATCTCTGGTCAATACACACAAACATACACACACACTCACGTGTACAGAAGTGCGTGCACATACACGCATATATACGTGTGCAGGGATTTACATACACACATACACACTCGCACGCACGCACGCCCATCCGCTCGCACGCACGCCCGTCCGCACGCACGCACGCACGCACAGACCAACCACCCTCCCGTTCGCATGCACGCACGCACCAACGCACGCACGCACGAATCTACGCGCACGCACGCACGAATCTACACGCACGCACGCACGCACGTACGAATCTACATGCACGAACACACGCACGCACGCACGCACGCACGCACGCACGAATCTACATGCACGAACACACGGACGCAAGCACGCAATCACGCACGCACGAATCTACATGCACGAACACACGCACGCATGTACGCACGCACGCACGCACGCACGCACGCTCGAATCTACATGCACAAACACACGCACGCACGAACCTACATGCACGAACACACGCACGCACGCATGCATGCACGCACGCACGCACGCATGCATGCACGCACGCACGCACGGACACACACACGCACGCACGAATCTACATGCACGAACACACGCACGCACCCACGCACGCACGCACGAATCTACATGCACGAACATACGCACGCTCACACGCACGCACGAATCTACATGCACGAACACACGCACGCACGCACGCACGCACGCACGCACGAATCTACATGCACGAACACACACACACGTACGCACGCACGCATCTACATGCACGAACATACGCACGCACGCTCACACGCACGCACGTATCTACATGCACGAACACACGCACGCACGCACGCATGCACGCATTCAGTGTTTCTGGGACTGCATCACCATTACTCAGCGCAGATAAGTACTGCTGTCGAGTCACTCACCTGCTAGCGAGAACGTGAACACATTTCTTCCTGACGTGATGGAATCAATTGCTGAAGTCTCCTACAACATAAAGAGCCAACCATGAGAACCCGTGCACGCATCAGCCACTCGCAGTACAGTATGTCTGAACATCGCACACAGTAAGCTCCCAGCCGCGAGTATAGAGACAAGATTAGGTGGTCGTACATGTATGTGCGTGTATCCAATACTGAACCGAATGCCTGAACACGGTCACCACTTCCACACAGCGTCGCAAATTAGGTGCATTATGTACGTGCACCGCTGTCACATACGATGCAACGCTAGGTGCATATGTAATACGGCTACAGTACGTACAGCGTAGCAACATATTCATGTCCAATACTGGCATAGCACGCGAAGGTTAACGACGTGTTCGCATTCAAAGTACTGGCGAAACACTACACACAGTGAAAAAAACATGTACAGCTACAGCTAGTTTCTGCCACACACTAGTACCCGCAGTGTAAACAACTCGGACATGTACAGAACGAACGACCACAGTATATATAGTGTACCAATACCACCAACATATAACCACAGTCGAAGCGTAGTAAATGTGCGTATCAGCAGAAGATCTTAAGAGAGGGGCACGCCAGAACATGTACAGGAAAACCATCGCCTGCCTACACACAGTGTAAAAACACGCCGAACTCATTCTTGCCCCGCGGATATTTGCTACACATGTCGCAACTAGCTCACACAAGGAATGCCGATGCAGATCTTAGAGAGAGAGAGAGAGAGAGGGCGGAAGAGAGAGAGAGCGGAAGAGAGAGAGAGAGAGCGAGAGAGCGAGAGAGCGAGAGAGCGAGAGAGCGAGAGAGCGAGAGAAGTCATGGGGGGATATTATATATATATATACATATATATATAATACATATATATATCTATATATATATCTATATATATATATATATAATATTAATCAGGGGTTAATTAATGACAATGTATGTATGTATGTATGTATGTATGTATGTACATGTAGGTATGTATACGCGTACGGCACAGTCGCTTGCGATCTAGGCCGGGCGAGTCAATAGTCCTCATATCATCGGTCTGTGTACGTGACACAACTGCTAGGCTCCTTCTCTTACCTCAGATAGATAGATACCCGGGTGATATGTGAGAACGCCGCTAGTTGAACGCAGCGCGACAGTCGATATCGCTGGCTAAGTGCTATGAACATCATCCGTATTCGTGAGTGCATGCGTGCGAGTATGTGTTTATGTCGCGAGCATAGAATCGTGCGTGTGCGCGCGCGTGTGCGTGCGTGCGTGCGTGTGCGTGCGTGCGTGTGTGTGGGTGTGTGTGTGGTGGGTGGCTGTATTGCAGTTGCGTGCATGTGTACGTCCGTGTATGCCTGTGTGTGTGGCGTGCGTGCTTTGCGTGTTCGTGCATGTGCTTGCGGGTGCGCATGCGTGTGTTACTGCTCGCGCTCCTGCGCGTGGCGTTCGTGCGTTCGGCTGGCGTGCGTGTGCGTTCGCTGCGTGCGTGTGCGTGCACGAGCGCGTGTCGGTGCGCATGCGCATGCTACAGCGCGTGCTCCGCGCTGATCAGACCTGCGCTGTAGGCAGTGTGTATCAGCAGCAAGCTGCTAACGGGCCGCACAGTCACTGAGCCCCGGATCGTGGCAGCGGCATCACGCAGAGAGAGAGCGAGAGCGGTCGCGTTTCTACACGGCACTGCTCCCATGTTCGCGGCGCCGGTGCGGGGTTCTGGATGCAATATTACAGTGTGTGGTTTCATTTGTAAGCGTTCTAGTAGGTAAGGCTCCCTGTCTCCGTGCCCCTGCCGCAGGCATTCACCGTGTTGGACCGCTACGTGTGTATGTGTGCATTCGTGTGCGTGCGTTCGCGTGTTTTCTTGTGTGTGTGTGTGTGTGTTGATGAAGCAGGATCCGTGGCATGGCAACGCGAAGATGACAGACACGAAGAAGACTGCGTGATCAACGT